GGGTATCGGGTCAGGTATCGGGTCAGGTATCAGGTCAGGGTCAGGTATCGGGTCAGGTATCGGGTCGGGTATCGGGTCAGAGAGTGAATACAGAAAACAGCCCTGACCTCAGTCTGAGTTCACATGCTAACATGTTAGCATTGAGCTTCTAGCTGGTTCACTAAACAGACTCTCTGCTGTCTGTTACTGGGTTATAAACATCAACGCTCAGCCTGGCGGGGCAAATAAAGCCTGGAGACTGCCAGGCTGATAATCTACTGGAAACCTGATTTAAACAGAAATTAATGCAAAAGACTAAATTTATTGGAAATTATTTGTTTCTTGATTAAATAATTTTTATTTAAACTTTATATTGAAATATAAATTACCGTATTTTCCGGACTATAAAGCACCTAAAAGCCTTAAATTTTCTCAAAAATCAGCGGTGCGCCTTATGTTTGCACTGAATTCCAAAATCTGTCCCCGACACAGAGAAGTAAAGTGTACAGTTCGTACGCCAGCAGCAATGAACCAATCAGGGATTGTTGTCCGAGTTCTGCAGCATAGCCTCGGTAAAAACGAGATCGGTTTTTCCACGCATCACCGTCCCTGTTCATCTGCGACTCCATGCGCGCCCATCTCACTGCTACTGTGAAAAAGGAAGTGAAGCAAACTAATTCGGAGTTTGCCGTCATTCCGGGAGGATTAACAAAAGAACTCCCACCGCTGGACATCGGTGTAAACAGGCCGTTCAAACAGAAGTTGGGAGCGGCGTGGGAGCGATGGACGACAGACTGAACACAGTTTACTGAGACAGGAGGCGGCGCCGGGCGAGTTACGCCACCAATGGATGGAGGATGCCTGGGCTGATGCATCGGCCTTAACTGAGCTTCACTAAAGCCGCATCGCTGCTGAACAGCCACCTGGAAACGACTCCGATGATGAGAGGGAGCCTGGCATGTTTGATGGAGAAACGTTCAATTCAGAAGAGGACTTTGATGGATTTGTGGAATTAGAATAAAAAATAACGTGAGTGTCACTAGCGAAACAAGTCAGCGTCGGGCCGGGGGGCGGGGCCAATTACCGGGCCCGTAACCCATAACCGGGCCCCTGAGGAATCACCGGGCCCCTTACGTGGAGTGAAACTGAAACTGTTGAGCAGGGGGTGGGGGGGGTATTTAACATTAAATACACCCTTCTCAACAGGCGAGGGCGCACTTTCTCTGTCTAAAATCACATATTTCAATGACTTGAAACCATTCCTCCCTCCCTGGCACCTCCAGGCCCGGGCCCCCATCCGGCCCGGTTTGGGGGGCAGCAGCCCCCTCAGCCCCCCTGTAGCTCCGCCCCTGGTGAGTGTATTGTTACACAGTCAAATAAAGTTCAACTAAACTTACTGCTTTGTTTCCGTTACCTTTGTTTTGCTGACCGTATGTTTTAGCACGTGCCTTATAGTCCTGAAAATACGGTAATGTAAACAGACTAAACTTATAAAAGTCAGATTTTTCCGGAGCGTTTCCAGGCTCTGCTCCTCTTCCTCGGCGGGGCCTTACCAGCTTGAGGAAGAGCTCGTGGTCCTTGTCCCGCAGCATGGCGTAGACGCTCTCCATCCTGCAGGTGATGCCGCACTGGGAGTCGTCCAGACTCTTGATGAAGTTGTCGCGGTTCTCCGACATCAGGTTGGTGAAGCAGAAGAAGGTGTCGGCCTCGGCGTGCTCTGCAGGACGGAGCACAGCGCCGTCAGAACCAGAACCAGGAAACTAGAACCAGAGAACCAGAAGCAGAACCTTTCCAGGAGCTGCTGGGGTCGGTGGCGAAGGTGTAGTAGATCGGGCCGACGATCTCGTTCATGCCCTGGACGTAGGCGATGCCCGGGTTCAGCTTGGCGTAGATGAAGAGGATCCGCTCCACCACCTCCCAGTGCGCCTCGCTGCCGCTGGGCAGAACCTCGTACTCATTGGACGGGTACAGGTTCAGAGCCTTCCCCGGAGAGCTGACCTGGACCGCAGAACCGGACATCGGGTTCAGGAGGACAGGCGGGTCAGAACCAGGAGGTCAAAGTTAGACAGAGAAGAACTGGGTTCTACGAAAACTAGAAGAAAAAACTGGAATGTTCTGGTCCAGTTCTGACATTACAATAATAAGAACAAGCTTTAGAGCTCATCTTGAACATTTCTTCAAAGGTCCAACTTCTCACATCAGAAGCAAAACTTATTTTACAATAAATGTTAAAAAATCTGAGGCAAGCAAATAAAAAAGTATCGATGCATATTAATAAACACAACAATACATAATAAATAAAAAGAGCAACAACTAATCACTTTGTCTGATTATTAGATTTGTATCTTAAATAAATTTATAGCTGCATTTATTCCTCTGGTATCTTCTGTGTGCACTGGTTTAGTTTTTATAAATAAATACAACAAGAAATTTTAACAGCATTTAAACAAATAAATAAAATAAAAATGAAGGTTTTTTAATAATATTAACTTATAATGCAAAACCTTTAGATCTAATCTCCATTTTATTATATCTGTTTATCATCATATTTCATTATAATCCAGAGATCAGAACCAGTTTTATTCTGCCCAGACAGACCGGCGCCCCCTGGCTGCCTGCTGCGGCGCCGCCTGGCTGCCTGCTGCGGCGCCCCCTGTCTGCCTGCTGCGGCGCCCCCGGCTGACTCACGTTGGTGACTCCGCTCCGGTTCCGGTTCACGGTTTGGGCCTTCAGCGTGGTTTGCTCCACGCGGCGCCGCAGCGTCTCGTACTCGTTCTGCGGGTCCAGGATCAACTGGCACGGATAGTCGGTGGGCCGCTGGAAGAATGCCATGTCCGGGTACAGCCGCCTGCAGAACCAGAACCGACCCGGATCAGAGCCAGTCCGGGTCCAGGTCAGAACCGGGTCTGGGTTCTTACCTCACATCCTTGTCGATCTGCAGCAGGATCTCGTTATCCTTGAAGTACGTGTTCCAGCGGCTGTCCGGGTTCGGGTTCAGCGGCTGCAACAGCAAAAGACCCGGTTCTGACTGGACCGGTTCTGACAGACACCACTGGGCTGCTCTACCAAAACCAGGTAAAACTGGTCTGCACGGCCCAGGCAGAGCCAGAACCAGAACCGGATCAGTACTTACGTGGTCCTCCAGCGTGACGTCGGCTCTGGACAGGCCCAGGTTGGCCTTGGCGATACCGGGCTGGATGATCATCTCTCTGAGGAACTGGGAGTAAACCTCTCTGTGGAGACAGGACAGAGGATTGGACCCGACCGGACCGGACCGGATTGGACCTGACCGGACCAGAGGTTTACTCCTGACTGACAGGAACAGGAGGTTCTGCTTCAGCAGATGAACCAGACCTCCAGGTCCGTTATGAAACAGGACTCAGAACCAGAGGAACGGGTCGGCCATCAGCTGCTGATAAACAAGCAGCTGATGATCAATACTGATCAATTATTTGGCTGATTGGGAATAATCCATTAATCATTAGAACAAAGAATTGATTAACAGGAGATTTTCTACAGATTCTGGATCTGAAACCTGCAGCAGAAACTCCATGAACCAGTGAAGCTTCTTCTTCTGTCCAGGGAGCAGCGCTGGAGTTAAACTCCGCCCCCTGCTGGCCGTTAGCGGCATGACAGCCTGAAGTCATCCCGTCTGCTGCGGGTCGGTCCGCTCGGCCCGGTTCTCTTACCTCTGCTTCTTCAGGAAGGAATCCCATAACGTCTGATCCAGAGGCAGGTAGTTCAGCAGAATCTGGAGGATCAACGGACCGGATCAGAACACGGCCGGTACGTTCCATCAGGAAACAGAACTTATTACAATAAATACAACAGAGACACAGGAGGTTCTGGGCCGGTCCTGGTCTGATTCAGGACCGGCTCCAGCTTGATTGTTTCCTGTTCCTGGCCCGGTTCTGGACCGGTGTCTAACCCGGTTCTGGACCTTTCTGTGAGTGAAGCTCACCTTCCAGCACAGCGAGCGCAGACCTTCCTCATGAGGGATTCCTGAGGGAAACAACCAGAGTCAGATTAAACCAATCACAGCAGACCGTCCACTGGCTGGAGGTCAAAGGTTACCGCTGAAGCTCAGCTCCCTCAGCGTCGTCAGGTTGATGCTTTCCTCCGCCAACGCCGATTTGAACTCTTGGATCCTTGGAGGAGGAAGTTATCGCACCGCATGAGGAACAGAGACACTCTGTTACCATGGTGACCACACAATCTGAGGTCAGAGTTCAGTATGGATGGATGGTCATTCTGACAGTAGTACATCTAATCTATTTTGCAGCCTAATCTTAAGCATGAAGCTTCAGAAATCTGTTTTAAAATAACCTGAAATTATTCCTGAACAAACTAAAGGAAAGTTTCTGATATAAGAAAAATGTTTAAAACATTTAATTTAAAATGTTGTAATTCTTCATCCTGAATGAAGTTAAATTATGTGAACCAAGAGAAAATCACCAGGGAGGAGATAAAAACCAGTTCAACTCTGGACTGGAGATTTAATGTTCAACCAACAGATAATTATCCTGTGTTTTAACAGCTGTTTATGTTTTTAACAGCTGTTTGTTTTTAGCAGCTGTTTGTTTTTTTGCAGCTGTTTGTTTTTTTGCAGCTGTTTGTTTTTAGCAGCTGTTTGTTTTTAGCAGCTGTTTGTTTTTAGCAGCTGTTTGTTTTTTTGCAGCTATTTGTTTTTTGCAGCTGTTTGTTTTTTTTGCAGCTATTTGCTTTTTGCAGCTGTTTGTTTTTAGCAGCTGTTTGTTTTTAGCAGCTGTTTGTTTTTTTTGCGGCTATTTGTTTTTTGCAGCTGTTTGTTTTTTGCAGGTGTTTTGTTTTTTCTGCTGTTTGGTTTTTTT